CCCCAAAACCCCAAAACCCCAAAACCCCTCAAATCCTAAATTGAATAAGAATGCTAGTTTTATAAAGTTAAATAAAATGTAATAAAGCTTGGATAGTAATATGAATATTAGTGGTGCTTTAGGTGTCTCCTAATAATAGATAGCAACATCTTAGAGATCTAACCAAGGAAATCTCAGCAGTGTAAAGAAAAATAAACTTTAATAGTATATTTCCTCAAATATCTAAAACCAAATTATGACTTAGAGAAACTAACCCACAACTCAAGATTTATCTGTGGACAGAGGTTAATAAAATAAGGAACAAACTACTTCTTTAAATCAATCGTTAGTTGGGAACGATAAGCTTAGAAGTTCCATTAATACTGCTAGGAATCAAGCAACATAAAATTAATAATAAATTAAACTTATTTCTGAAAAATACAAGCCAGTTAGATAAACTTCCACAAACAATAGCAAGAGTAGAAATAATTCAAGCAACAATAAGAGAAATCTAGGATTATTTTCTAAAACTTTATAGCATACAAAGCAACCTGAAATTATACCAAGACAGGCATTATACAAGGATTCAGTTTTACCAGGAAGTAGCAAAAGAAGTAGTCATGAACCAAAAACATACAATTCAAACTAATCAGACAAAAGAACACAGCTGTATTAAGGTTAATCTCATACATAGTAAAACCATAATGATATTAATTAGGATTCAAAAAAGTCGATATAAAGTCCATCTGAATAGAATTACAACTTTCAAAACTAGGTTTAAAATCATTCCTTTTCTTAATCAATGGAGGAGGAAAAGCCTGCTTCAAATCAAGTAGATCAAAATTTATTAGAAATGCTAGATAAGGCAATAGACCTGGACTTCTTTAATAGATCTCAGCAAAAACTGAATGAATAAGGTGAGATAAGAAGTGGACATTCGAAGTCATTAAATCGAATCATTGAAAAGAATGATAGTTAGTAGATTTAAGCAAATAGAAGAGATACAAGTAAATTCAATTCTTCTTTTCAAAATAAGAGTATTGGATCAGATTCAAACAATCACAAAGACTAAATAAACAGAGATAATTATAGCTTTTTAGAGAAGATGGTAGACTAGTCAATTGAATTCAATCCAAATGAGATGCTGTAAAGCGATAATATGATTGCAAATAGTAAAAATGATAGTGAATTAAATGATCAGTAAAATAATACAACGGATTTGATGCACAAAAATATCTTTTACAGTGATCTTAGAGTATCATAAGCAGATGGATTGGAAATAGAAAATCATTTTATGATGAACTAAATATCTTAGAATAATGGTAACATGGAGCAATACTAAATGTATGTAAATCATTTGATGGCACAAATACATTATTTGGACAATCAATTGTCAAAATCAAAAGAAATTATAAAGTAGTATCGGGAGATGTGTTCATCATAATCGTAAGAATTGTAGTATTTTAAGAATAGTGGTCATATTAATAATCCCCCATTCACCACTCCATAAAAATAAAATTTAACACCAGTTAAGGATAATACCAAAAATAGAGAGCGTCTTAAAACCCCTGATAGTATTTCTCAACTACTGCAAGAAGTAGAAAGATTCCAAAAGAAATAGGATCAGCCATAACTAGAGCAAGAACAAAGACAGGGCATTTCAGATTTTAGAGATATATTAAATCAAGATAAAAGCAAATCTTTTACTCAGATTGGTGGAGACATCCCGATGTTAACTAATTCATTAAAAGTAAAGGGAATAATTAAAAGTATGAATGAAGAATAGTAAGAACTGATTGGATAAATTTTGAAACAATTGGGCGTTGAGCAATAAATGAGATTGAAAAGTGAAGAGCAGCATCTTTTAATGATTGACTCTTTGGAAGAAAATAGCAAAAAACTTGTAAGACTTAAATTCAATAATATTATATACATATTTAGGAATTTTAATTGAAGTAAGTTAAAAACAAAATGTCAACTAAATAGTTAGTCACTTAGAACAGCTTTGGTTCTCCATCTCAATCTTATATTAAGCATAATGATATTGAAAAGCATTTGTCATCTTGAAATAGCATAAATGGCTTCATTATAAGAAGATAAATTATTATTTATGGAATATGAAAGACAATAACTAATATTTATAACTTTTACTAAAAGATACATTAATAGCGTACATATGGGGTTTTGGGGTTTTGGGGTTTTGGGGAGA